AATCCTTGGTCTCAGAATATATTCTGCCATGTAGTTTGTTTGATGAAAACAGCCTCCTTTTGTTCTTTTCATGAATTCCAAAGCCTTCTCTGTTAGTTAGTTAGTTAGTTAGTTAGTTAGTTAGTTAGTTATTTTTGCTATCTATTTGGTTTCCTTTCTGTGCCTTTAGCTTTTTCAGATTTTTATCTTTCCTCTTTATATTTGCTCACTACTTGTACCAGAAACAAATTCATGTTTGTTACAATGTAAAGTGCAAAAAGTAGGTGCAGATTCCCTAAATTTGTAATGGACATGCGCTTTGTGGCTGCTAGTTAGGGTATATCCTTGTGCATTTGTCACAAATATTTCTGTGCTTTACGTATTTACACTGGATAATTGCTGGTGTAGCATTGGGGTCCTCTTGATAGACTGAAGCAGCTCTAAGAGACAGCATAGTGCAAATGCTTTGTTCTGAACATAGAACACATTGGTGGCAATTGCTAGAAGACTAGAAAAGAAGTAGTCAGGGCAGTGGGATGGTGAAATGGAAGCCTAGCTCTTTGGGTGCACCTGGGCAGTGAAGCAGTGAGGAGAAATTATGGCTCTGAGACAGAATTGGCAGGCATCTGTACAGCCTGATGATGTAGTGAGTGCTCTAGTACTAGTATATCATGATTTCTGGCAAGCCCAAACAATATCTCAGTTCAAAAGCTCTCAGATAATATAATTAGTATAGCCTGTTATCAAAAACCTTCAGAAAGACTTTTAAATAAGAGTATATTGTACTAGGCCAAAAGGACTCTTTGTATAAGACAGCTGTGGGGCTTTTTATTTTATTAAGACATTGGTCCATTAATGTACTGAAACCAATTTGAAGTAATTTCAACAGTAATCTACTTGTGTAGCTTAATTTGTCCTATAACATTTAATATTTTCTTAAGTAGTATTTAGAATCTACTTTTGGTTTCCCCTTTGCTACTACTGAACCTTTCCCCAAGGCCCTGCAAAACAGTGATCAGGAATTAATAAACTTTGTCTTTGAAGTCATACTCAACATGCTCCCTCTGTATGTGCACATTATATTACCCAGCAAAAAGCATGTTCTCATCCATATAGCTACAATGACAATAAATTGGGCATTCTAAAATCAGTATCTGTGCCAAGCCATATTATATAGATTTCTCTCAGCTTTGTTCCAGGATAGTGGGTTGTATCCTGAAGAACTTGCTTGCTCTGTTTGTGTGTCTGTGTGAAATTAGGCAAAATTTTGCATTGAAATGAAGAGACAGCGTTTAACGGTCTTGGATTCTTCAGGTTCCCCTTTGTCAAATATACACATCGTCCCCAGTTTAAGTATGAGTTCCATTCCCAAGGTCTGTCCTTAAGTCAAATTTGTATATAAGCCGGAAG